TCCTTTAGCAACTAAGCTGGAAGTGGTTTAACAAAGGCCAACAAAAATGGTCCTGACTGTAAGAGAAAAAAAAATGAAACAAAAACGCAGTGTATGCAAATATTTTTGCTCCATTTTTTTGGGAGCTGCCCACGTCCACTATCATAATGTCACTGCCACTGTGGGACTCCTAGATTCTCTTTTGTTACGGTTATCTTACATTCTTGAGGCTATGATGATGATATTCCCCTTCTTTCTGATCCGATATATGGGACATGTTTCAACCTAACCCATAAGTTGACGGCATAAATGCCCACAAGCATCTTTGCATCCATGGTGGTGTTTGAACAACCTTTAATTAGTAGTTTGTCCATTACCTATATTAGAGTGTTGATGCTATTATTTTGAGTGACCTAAATGCACATTAAAGTTAATATAGGCCTGTAAAATTATTTCACCGTTCGTACAATTAAAGTAGTTTTTTAAAGTAGTTAACCTGATACTAATGAAAAAGTATTTTACATTTGTTGTTTATAAAACTATGAGCGGTTGTTCCAAAAAAAACTCTGAGCGGTCTTTAAGTAAACGTACAAGTAATAATTTAGAGAAAAGTTAATGAGATTAATCTCGATAAAATAGAGCGATGGGGACTCTCTAAAGTAGCTTTCATACATGCTAAATAGTAAAGGCAACAAGAAAGTGAATTATATTACCCAGAGCGATATCTCATATATACTGGAGTCTAAAAGTCAGTCTATATATAAGTCATTGGCCACTAACCAATCTATATAGAAGTCTCCTAAAATTAGGGTTTTGCGGTGGAAAACATTAAAAAGATCAACTAGATCCATTACAAATACCATGCACAAACAACACTTTCTAAAACGAGTCACTTTGGTCGATATTCTCCTTAAGATCCGTAAACATTTCCAACTTCAACCATTGAGGCCCTAAGTTCACATTTATTGATTTTACTTGTTTTTTTAAGTTGCACACTTTTACTTCTCTTGCTGATACTACACGAAGTGCAAAAATATAATTATAGCTTTATGTTAAACAAAATAGTGAAAATGCGTTGGGCCCTATCCCAATCGCGCATCGCGCGTTGCAATAACTAGTATACTATCATAAACTTTAAAATGTACGGAGTAGTTTACTAAATCATTCCACTTATCTTTGGTTTATCTAACACATCTCTTCATTTCCATGTGATAAAAACATGTAAGAGCATGATCTAAGGGTTTTCATATAATTTTAACATAAAAATGTATAACTTATAACAAAAAATTAATACTTCTTAGTTAACAAGAATAGACTAGGAAATTCTTAGTTAAGTTCACTTAATTTTATTCCACTTTTAGCAACGCAAGGACACATCATAAGATCATGAAAATACTTGTCATTCTTAGTCATTCTAATTCTTAGTGTACTGGTATTACCAAAAATGACTAGTATGTGCATTTCGAAATGAGTAGAAGGTAAACATATTATTTCAATATACCAGGAATGATAAGTATTTTCATTTCCAGTTTAACCATCTCATGTTTTAACTTTACATTAGCGTAAAACAAAGTTGGAATTAAAGAAACTTACTATCATTCTATTCAGGGGTGGATTCGGGCCGGGCCGGGGCCGGGTCGGGCCTAGACCCGGGCGGGCCGGCGGTTCAGGATTGGTGAACTCGGGACCGGCCCGGGTAGCCACCGGGTCCGGGCCGGCCTCCGGTTTGGTTATTTGTTTTTTGCTTTCCTAACCCCCACCCCACCCCCCAAACCCCTCCTAACCATCAAGCCCAACCCGGGTGGAACCCCAAAAAATGAAAAAAAAAAAAAAAAAAAAAAAAAAAATTGGCCCGGACCCGGGCCCGACCCGGCCGGTTCGCCAAATGTGAGACCCGAGCCCGGACCCCCGGGTCTAGGCCCGACCCGAACCCGGACCCAGACCCGAGAACTGGGCCGGTCCCGGTCCCGCACAGTAGCGGGCCAGTTCACGGGCCGGGTGGCCCGACCCGAATCCACCCCTGATTCTATTGAGCTTGTTCGAGCGGTAGAAAGTTTATGGGTTTGGAAACAAAGAAATTAAACATTAAATTTGTTAAAAACGAATCAAATATGATATTGAAGTCAATTATCAATTTATCATTGAAACATTTTAACAAACATTTGATGGACATAATTTAAATCCAATCTTTTCAAAAACAAAACTTTCAAATATATTAAAGCACACTAAATATAGGTTGAAAAAGATCTCAAAATAGATATGTAGGTTGGCAAAAACTCAATTTGTATTTATGCACAAGAAAATTTGTTGTAAAACTTTAGAAATGAAATTCCCTTAAAATTCATCATCTACACTCGTTGAAGCAATGATATTCTCCAAACATTTATTCGTACGAGATGCACTCTAACCTATCAATTGTATCCAACTATGCAGCTGCCTAGAAGTGATGGTGGAAGAGAGAAGCCGTCATAGAGAATCGAAAAGATAGCAGAGTGTGGTTCTAACCCGAAAGGTTATAAGCCTTTTTACATAGTAACCTCTCTTCATAGTTGTCAGGATTCTAACCCGAAACTTACACCTTATGTCACTTTCTATCTAGTTGAGCTAAACCCACCGACCAAAAATCTTCATAGAGGATATACGAAGATGAGGAGGTAGAGATGGAGAAGATGAATATGAAATTTTTTATGCAACTTGTTCTTGTTGGCAGGAGATGGTCGGCCAAATAAAAAGTTACAAAGTTTGAGATTTATTGGAATGCCATCAATGAAATGTGTATAATATGAGCGGTCCACAATAGTTCTCACTTCTCACTTTTTGGTTTGAACCCTAAATCTCATTTGATCTTTTGTCTAGATACATATATATACACAAATATAGAGCCATGTTCCTATCGGTCCGGACTGACCGGTACCACCATCCACCGACATCATTTGAGGTAGGGGTGTCTACCGGTCCAAAACCGGACCGGACCGGTTAGGATCGAAACCGGATTCATCATTTTAACTGGACCTAATACTAACCGGTCCAAACCAACTCAGACCTGAATTTTCCGGGCTGGTCCGGTTTTGACCATAATTGATCCGATATTTTAAAAAATGCATATTATACTACGTATATCATAGAGTGTTGTTTATAACTTGAGAAATTGCCCTAAATAGGAATAGATGAGGTTTGAAAATTCAAATAGGACTACTATATATATTTTTCTTCCCGAAATAGTTGTTACTGTCATGTATGAAAAATACTGTCATTAATTACAATAAATATTGTAATGTTAATTGCACTGTACTGCATCTAATTGGCAGTCACGCCCAGTCTTGGCCTCGGGCCGGGTGGCCCGGCCTGGTGGCCCGGCCAGTGACCGGTCCGGGTAGGCCCGGCCTGGGGGGTCCCCGGTGCGAGCTCGGGTCACCCAAAAACCGAACCGGCCCGGCTAGTTCGGGCCCGGTTCCGGGCTTTTTAATTTTTTCTTTTTCATTTTTTTTATCTTTTCGGGTTGGGCTGGGTATTTTGGGCCATTTGGGGTGGTTTGGGGGGCTGGGGGTGAGGGGGATAATTAGGAAAAGGAAAAAAAATACTATCATGTTAGTCCTATTTCATGAATAAAAACATAATATTCTTATTTTGAAAATCCAAACTCCAATTACTCCTATTTTGGGAAATCTCCCAGGGAAATCTCCCTTAAAACTTTAATCTTATGTGCTAAATAGACTAAATAATTGTTTAACTCATTTATCAATTTAGGCATGTAATCATCAATGGTCACAATCAATTTCCCAAATTAAATGAGGTTAAAAACTACAATCTTTCATGTGCACTAAAATGCGGAATGTGTGTAATAAAAACTAAATCACATGTCCACTATATATAAACTAAATCTATAGTTCACATTGCATACAAAGAAACAAATAAAAAGCAACACATTGAACATTTGGTCTCAACCATAAATAAACTAAATAACGATAATTAATTGACAATTCAGCCTTTTAAAAAGAAAACTTACTAATTCATGGTATTGGTGTGTTATGGTGCTTGGTGGTGTAGCAGCGCAGGTTACCAACTCCGTAAATGTAAAATATATACTCCATATATATACATATCTAATATACTACGATAACAGAAAAATGAAAACCCTAAAATGTAATGACAAGTGATTGGGAACAAAGACTACAAAGTAAATTTTTTTCGGATAATAATTTACCGGTCCAAACCGGTGCAGACCTCGTTTTTCCGGGTTTGACCGGGACCGGAACCCGGAATCCTGAATATCTTTGGACCGAAACCCATATCTGTTAATACCAGTTCAGACCAGTCCATTCCGGTCCGGTTCAGGTCTAAAATGCAGTCTGGACCGGTTAATGCACACCCCTATTTGAGGGGCTTTTCGGCCAAGTTTTTTTATGGAACTTTTTTATCATGTCTTTCATGAAGTGTAGATTATATCTACAATCCACAAGATATCAGCTTAAAATTCAATTTAGAAGTGAGTTAAATAAATTATTGAAACGCACTGAAAAAAATATGAATAAAAAACGCTGCATTTACAACAATTCATTTAACTGACTTCCTAATCGAGTTATAAGCACAAATTTTGTATGAATATTCTACACTTCATGAAAACACACTTGCACATCAAAAAAATCCATTTGGAAGGCCCTCAAACAGGCTTGGTCAGATTGACCTAAATATTCTTCTACACTTATACACAGGTCGGGTACAAACTTTGCTTAACGTGCAAATATTTATACCATGCATTTTTACGCAATTTGCATTGCATATTAACATTCAAAGTATTGCATACCATTCTATAATGAAATAAGCAGTCACATATTAACGTTCAAAGTTTTGCATCTTAATTAATTTTATTTTATTACCAAAACGCAGGTACAACCTTTAGATTAACTCATCAGATGATTAAGATGAGTTTGTAGTTTGTAAATTAGGAGATATTTGTATTTAATCCCTTATATTAGGCCTCTTTCATCAAAATAATTTATTTAACCGACTTCCAAACTGAATTTTAATCTGAAATTTGGTGGATATAAAAAAAAATTGATCCGAAAGCACCTCAAATCAAAGAGGCCTAAAAATTGTACGAGTAAGTTTGAAGCCTAAAAATTACATGAACATTTTCCTATACATACATATATAGCTCTACAATCTGTGAATAACTTGCAATGAATCAACAAAAGCTGAATTTGTCAGACCTTGTAATCATGGTGGGAGGAAATATGGAAAACCCATCATCTCTACGGAAATGTTTACATGTTCATCCACATATATGTTTCACAAGGAAGTCCAAAATAAGAAATAGCAATTGATCTGAATTGCACTAGAGAGGGCCCTTATTGTTCTTCCCATGTCTTTTTAGGGATTGGGAAAAGAAAGCGAAAGAGTCACTAAGCTCATTTGGCAGAGGAAGTGATAAGGGAAGGAGCAATGGTTGTTGGCAGGCTCTGAGGCAGTAGGGAGACGGGAGTGCTAAGGCAGGCTGCTGTTTGTTAAGGCCTTCGATAATAAAGGAAAATGCCCCAAAAGTGAGGCAGCTTTGCAGTAGAGCCTGTGGTGCACCTAAGAAAAATCAAACCAGCCAGAATATGAAAGAGCTTTTAGATGGAAAAGGTGCTGTTCTGCTGCCAAATAACTTAAGCTGAAATGTGTATAGCTAACAGCTGAAAGCTAGAAATGTTTTGTAAAAAATATCAAAGGGCATATTGTTACTTTTGCAAGAAATTAAGATAATTAGCCAAACAAAATTAAAAACAATGAGCTTATTTCTGGAATGAGATAGCCACCATAAGCCACACTCTGGTTGGATGGTTGGTTAGGACTTGAGGGGGAGAAATAGAGTAATATGATGAATGATAATCATGTGAACATATTCCGCGCATGAGTCTACCTTCGGTGTGGGCCAAGCCCGACCGGGTGGCTTAGACTATCTAACTGGAGGTGGTAAAGCCTTCTCTGCAATCCGTGGAAAGCGGTTCGGAGCTGGCTGAGCCTTCTCAGCAACCCACAAAGACTACACTCCGCTTCCATGTCTTCTGAGCGGACGATAGGAGGATATGTTCAGCTGAGGCCATAGTTGGCTACCAGTCCAATAAGAAGACTGGCCCAACCTTCAGCATCCAGTCTATCAATTTCAAAGGCAAACCTTTGGTTCATGACCCAAAGGCCTATATACTCCCCATCAACTCCCACCCATATTAAATATCCATTCAGGATCTTTATAACACGAGACTGTTCTGGAGGATTGAAAATGATTTCTATGTTTCTATTAATCAAGAAAGTTTAAGCAAAAAAATGAGAAACATGAAACAATGATGCAAGATGTCCACAGCAATAAATGGAAAAAACACTTCAAACCAAATATGATATATGCCTCTCCTAACCTTTCCCACATGTATGTTTGTACTCCGTAGCATAGTTCATGAGAGAAAAGCTGTGAAAGATGAAGTACCTGGAAAACTCAGAGCAAGACCAGTACAACATCCAGCTACACCAGCATTAATTACTGCAAGGAGAGACAAAGTATTTTGATATGTTAAAGAAAGTCATTTGAGAGAGCAAATGCTTTTTCAAATTGATGGAACCTACCATCATCTTTTCCCCTAAGCCTCTTCAGAAAGCAAACCACAACACTGTGTACTCCGGACAGTACTGCAAATGTCTAAAGTGCAAGGGATATCTTACTGATGTTATACTCAATATACAGCTACAGGCCAACAAATTCACATGTATGTAGTGATATTTTATTAGTAAAATCATTTGCTAACAAAAATGAGGGTCCAAATACCTTTGCAGATGATCCTGCCTCTGCAAAAGACCCTTTGAAGCCCTTCTTTTTTATCAACCCTGCACCTGATGGATTCGAGAATAATAGTGTAACTCCCCGTGCATTTGAATTATAAATATTAGAGGCACAATTGGATCTGGGGAAATGCTATGAAAAGGTAAAGAACTGCTAGGGAGAGTAGTTTTCTTATACACGGCGTATTTTTACATTGGGCAATGATATATGATCATTCGTTTATTTATTTTTGCATATATTTGGAATTTACTTCTTGGCATGATCGACCTATACAGGTAAAATGAGTATCAAGAACAAACGGACCCACCCCACAGGTTTATGTAGAAGCAAGAATAAGAACATTTCCCCAAGCCCTCCGCCTAAAATGGAAAAAAACTCAACGCAGCACATAATATTGTGTATATATCACTGTAAAGACTCGCAATTCAATCATTAGGAATGACAGACAAAAACAGTGAAAAGGAAAATCGTAGTTTTGTGTCGTAATCCCATAAACGCCCAACCTAAAGAGTGGACAGTTTTTTAAGGGCTAGTGGGAAAAAAATTAAAGGAGGTGGGAACGCCGAAGATTACCGTATCCGAAAATGGAACCCATAAACGCCCCACCGAAAGAGTCTGCGGCAAACCTATACAAGCAGACGGCGGGCGGGCTCGATGGGGAGCTCAATACGTCGGAAGTGGCATCGGGATTAGGGCCGGATTTAGTAGAGAAGTCCGGAGTTGGAGTGTTCACGACATCAGAGCCGGTATCGGCGTTCGGGGATTTCGTCGGCGTCATTGCCATCGCTGCTGTAGATAAATGGGCTAGAACCCTACGATTGAATGGCAAGAACCCCACGAACCTTCAGCTCTTGGGCGTGCCGGTTTGGATGAGAAGACGTTCATTTAAATTTAGACGTTTCGAATCAAAGTTTGACAATTTCAAAATATACCTAAAATAAATAAATCTCTATTTCTAATTTTGTCACATTCTATTTTAAGTAAAGAATTTTTGTTTCCAGCCAATTCTTTTTTTTCTGCACAAACTTCTACCGCAAAATTTTTACTTTATTAATCTACGTACAGACAAATTTGATAAAGTTTTAAGGGATAGAGACAGAGAGACTACTTCGATTTTGGATGTCTCATATAAAAGTTCCCACATATAAATGTTTACATTTATTCGGTATAAATTTATTCAAAGTTAATAATTTTTGGAATTTCAAAATAAGACTAATACGTAGCATGTTTTATCACAAAAGTAAAAGTTTTTACTGTCATGATTGAGAAATACTAGAGTATATTAATTATAATAAATACTGACATGTTGAATGTATGTTATTGCAACTATTTGATAATCATGACTACAATATGGCAGTAGGGGACTCGTTTGTTTCAAAGAATGTCCCATTATCATGGAAATATTACATTATTGAACATGTTAGATTGATGAGAATGCATTTTAATTTATTCTCATTTGTATTTGCTTAAGATTAAGGGAATGCAACATTAATTTATTGGATTGAAAGATAATTTATATTCCAGATTTGATGAATTACTTCAATGCTATTTAAATATTTTCTCTTAACACAATAAATATGTTACTGCCTACATCTAAAGTAATTGAAATTAAATAAAAAATGAAATATCTTACAAATAAATAAAATCTAAACTAATTGAATTATTTTTAAGTAAAGTATATTTTAAATGAAATCTAAACTAATTGAATATAATAAATTAAACATATTCCATCCATCCCATTTAAAAGGTTGTCACGCAATTTACAAAATTTGAATAACCACAAAACTAACTACAATAATAAAATTATTTTTAGTAAATTAAATTAACATTTACAAAAACTACATTAAAAGTTTTATAAAGTCACAAAACAATTAGATTTTATTAAAGTTGAATATATAAAGTAAAAAATTAGTGGACGAGAATAGTGGACTAGAGAATAGTAGACGAGAACCTTTAGATGGAATTATGGAAGAGTCAAAAAAAAATTAAATGAAAAGAGATAACTAAATTGTGGGTATTTTAGGAAGAAAATTAGGTCCTCCTCAGGAATGTCAGTTAACCTAAGTCATGGATGGGGCTAACATTCTCCTCCATAGTACATACTCGGGAATGTAACTTTTCTGATTTTTTCTCAACCTCATTAACTAAACATGGACATCTAACATTGCTTGCATCACATTCCGGCCTTCATGTGAGATTACACCAAACCAAACAGACCATAAAGATTATCACATTACTCTTGTTTCGAAAAGAAAAACATAGCAATCATAGTTTAGAAGTTCAAAATCTTTCTACTCCTATTTTGAAAAATCCCTGGTCACTCATCTTAATCAAGACCACAATACTTAAAATGTAAGAGAATATGAAAGTACAATCAAATATTATGTAAACAACAATACATGGAGTCATGGAAGAGATAAGCTCTCACACCTCAAGAACACATTAGAGAAGAAAGATTAAATACAAAAACTAGTGAGGAACTATAGGATTGAATGATTCATTTGGTTAGAGTTTGAATAAGCTAAGAAATGATATTTTGATAGTCTGTTATTAATAATAAATCGGTTTTGGGTGAAATCTATGAGATGTATCCTTAAAATATTGGCTTGTCGTCAGTAATATTCTTGCAAGTCGTTTTTTTTTCAGATTTCCCAATTCCGACACCAGATATGGGGGAAGTCTGGTAGTGGAGTTAACTTTTGATGTAAGCCGTTGTCCGTTGTTTCTAGGGTTTGGCAAAATTTTTATGATAAAAGCCGAGCACCTATTTTAATCAAACCAAGATTGGGAATACAACCGCCTTCCAAACGTGTCTGCACAATCATGCAATTTGATCGCGTTTTCCAATGAAGTAACTAGAGATATGATTTTGATAGAAAAGCAAATGTGTATATTTAACTGAATATCATATATTTGAATCTTGGACTAGTTCATGCAAGGTTCTTGCTAAATAGTTCTTTTTTGGAGCTTAGGAAAACTATCTATTTTGTTAGTTCATTGAATTACTGAAAGTTTATGCAAATAATTTAGTTTTGGAAGTTGGATATGATCTTACTAAAAGAGGTCATTCCCCCATATCATTACTTTGGATTATTGGATGGGCATATTGGTGATGTTTGACCGAGTATTTCTATAAACTTTGTTTTTATATTTCCTTGTTTGACCGATTCGAAGTATGATACACCTTCTTTTGGAAGGTGCCTTGGTTTAAAATGACCCAGAGGGTCTGTTGGGACTCAGGATAAAAAGTATTATACTACGTAAATCGCTTCCATAGAGTTTCAAACTTAGAACTTCCCATATGGGAGAGTAGTCGATGACGGATGAGCTAGATTGTTGGGTGTGTTTCGGAAAATAAAGAAAATTAATTAATTAAAATGACGAAAGAAAAACAAGAAAAGAGATGGAGCAGAATTTGTCAAAGCTCGTGCTACGCACGATGTCCTTAAAACGTATTTGTTGCCTCCCACGGTGCTAGGAGCGTTGCAACAATAGTTTCCCAGGATACGATGACAACGAACTAGTGTTTGAGCACACAAACAAAAGTTCCAGCGAACGAGAACAAAGACTGAACACAAAAGGAAATTTTCGGAATGCTAGCAGTGTGTTTTTGAGGTGCAAAACGTGAATGGAGTGTCTAAATTCGTGTGTTGTTGCAAACCACCTGCCAGCCATTATATAGGAGGATTTGTTGTATGAAAATAGTGAATTAATGGACCTGAACGTTGGACATCAATGACCAGTCCGTTGGGCATTGAATCGTCCATGAACTGTCCATTTAACGCTGCATTAAAAGATATAAACGTTGGGCATTTATAGCTGTAACGGTTCAGAAGTGCCACCAGAATACCTATGCGAGGTATTCTGATCGAGGCCATCAGAGACCGGCGTGTTCTGATCGAGCCCATCAGAGACCGACGTGTTCTGATCGAGGCCATCTCAGAGATCGACGTGTTCTGGTGGAAGCCACCAGAGGCCGAGGTGTTCTGTCACCAGAGACCGAGGTGTTCTGCCACCAGAGACCGAGGTCTTCTGCCACCAGAGACCGAGGTCTTCTGCTGCTAGGCACTTCTGCCGCTGGGAAAAAATAAACGTTTCGGGAAGAAAACAAAAATTAATCGTATCTCTTGAGAGATAGATTTTTGGACGACATTCGTGTCCGCAGGTCGCCCGCGCTCGCAAGTCGCGGTTTTTCTTCTCCGAATTCGGGATTTGATTTGCACCCCCCCCCCCCCCTGCGCGCGTGGAGAGAGCCTTTACCCTTAGGAATCTTAACTCCATAAGGGGGGAGTCCCTTTATAAAGGGTTGCAAATCCCTTGGGTTTTCCGGTGTGGGAAATTAACACTAGAAACCCATCCTTTTTCCCCAGTTTTCCCTTCTAACGGGTAAACTTCGAAAAGCGATTTCTCATTCACCCGTTATCCGTTTTGAGCGTACCATATATCGAATTGTAGCCCTAAGCAAGGACAATCCGAAACCACTTTAACCCGACCCAAATCGGAAGTGGACCCCACTCAAAAAAATTGCCCCAAAATAGCCATTTAATGCAATTTTTTCACACATTTTTCCAACAATCCCCCACATGAATGAAAATTGATTTTCGAGACTTAAAAAGACACGAAGATAGGAGGACACGTTGTGTTCACCGGATGATCCTTGTATACGGAGAGGTAGGTTTAATCCTTTGAACCTTCCGCCGTAAAGACTCGTTTATTTACTGGCTGTCTAGTAGACTCGATGTCTTTGAACTATACTGCCGTCGTGTAAACATTGACTTATCTTTACACAAGAACCTTCCAACTTGTTCCGTTCTCATGGGTGTGCCCGTTTTGGCCATGGGTCACCGTCCTGGTTCTGCAAGAGTTTCTAAAGAACTGAGCCATTACAGTTCTCCTTTGAAGCGGCCCTCTTCTCTCTCACATAGGTGATTCTTTCACGAGTATCCCGCATACTCTTCCAATGTTATCGAGTAGATCAACATTTTAGAATCATTAAAGCAAACGTTTTTGCTAACCTCGTGCGGGAGTCACTGTTTCAACGAGGAGTGGGTAGGAGTCCGGGACCCCCACAGTGACCATCCTTCGCTCTATAATTTAGTTGTCCCATTTGAACCTAGGACCATTTAGGTTGGGTATCCATTATAGAACTTTTCAATTCACGGGCTTTAATCCCATTCCTCGTGACAACTTCTCCAACAATTCTCTATCCAATGCCTTGGTTAGCGGATCCGCTATGTTATCCTTTGACTTCACGTAGTCAACAGTTATAACACCCGTTGTGAGAAGTTGTTTAATGGTATTATGTCTACGACGGACGTGTCTAGACTTACCATTATAGAGATTGCTCTGTGCCCTTCCAATTGCCGCTTGACAATCGCAATGTATGCATATTGGAGGGACAGGCTTCTCCCAACTTGGAATATCCTCGAGAAAATGGCGTAGCCATTCAGCCTCTTCAGTGCACTTATCCAAGGCTATTAGCTCAGATTCCATCGTGGATCTAGCTATTAACGTTTGTTTCGAGGATTTCCACGACACGGCTGCACCTCCCAAAGTGAAAACGTATCCACTTGTGGACTTTGAGTCCTTAATGTCAGATATCCAACTAGCGTCGCTATACCCTTCAAGTACAGCTGGATATCTTCCGTAGTGCAGTCCAAGGTTTTGGGTTTTTCGTAAATACCTCAAAACTCTTACTATTGCCTTCCAGTGTTCATCACCGGGGTTGCTAGTATATCTACTAAGCTTACTAACCACAAAGGCAATATCAGGCCTGGTACAACTCATTAGATACATTAAACTGCCAATAATCCTAGCGTATTCTACTTGAGAAATACACTCTCCACGATTTTTGGTCAGATGTACGTTTTTATCTAATGGCGTCCTTGCCTCTTGATAATCATCCTTATTAAATTTTGTAAGGATTTTATCCACGTAATGGGATTGGCTTAGCGTCAGACCCTCAGGTCCTCTAATTATTTTAATCCCAAGGATTAAATCGGCCAGCCCCATATCCTTCATGTCAAATTTAGAATTTAACATGCTTTTGGTAGAATTAATCATTAGATTATTGCTACCCACGATGAGTATATCATCCACGTATAAACATAAAATGACATAGCCGTCTACCGTGCTTTTCACATAGACGCATTTGTCACTTTCGTTTATTTTAAACCCATTAATTAACATTGCATGATCGAACTTTTCGTGCCACTGTTTAGGGGCTTGTTTCAATCCGTACAATGATTTAATTAATTTACACACTTTCCTTTCTTGGCCAGGAACACGAAAACCCTCGGGTTGTTCCATATAGATTTCTTCGTCTATATCGCCATTTAGAAAAGCGGTTTTTACGTCCATTTGATGAACTTCCAAATTCCGCAAAGCGGCAATTGCTAGTATCATCCTAATGGAATTTATTCTCGTCACAGGAGAATACGTGTCAAAGTAATCATGGCCTTCACGTTGCTTGTATCCCTTAATTACAAGTCTGGCCTTATACTTATCAATGGAACCGTCCGGTTTCATTTTACGTTTAAAAATCCACTTGGATCCCAAAGGTTTACATCCCGGAGGGAGATCAACCAATTCCCATGTGTGATTTTTTAGGATAGAATCCACCTCACTTTTGATAGCTTCTTTCCACATAGGTCCTTCGGTAGACGTTACGGCTTCCGTATAAGTCCGTGGCTCATTTTCTACCAAACATGTTAGAAAATCCGGTTCATTTTCTACCATACAAGTTAGAATATTCGAATCAAATTCTACCAAGTATGTGAGAAAATCCGGTCCGAAGGATTTTTCAACTCTAGCACGTTTGCTACGTCGGGGTTCGGCTTCTTCACCGGATCCCTCGCTAGTATTTTCCATAGCTACGTCAAATGTTCGTTTTGACGTGCTAGGTCCTTCGTTGGACTTGCATGGAAATACGTCTTCAAAGAATGATGCATTCCTTGACTCAATTATTGTGTTTTTATGTACATCCGGATTATTCGAATCGTACACTAAAAACCGATAAGCACTACTATTTTGTGCATATCCAATAAAAATACAATCCACCGTTTTTGGACCTATTTTTATTTTCTTAGGTGTTGGTACAAGCACCTTAGCAAGACACCCCCACACTTTCAAATATTGATAGGAAGGCCGTCTGCCTTTCCACAACTCGTACGGAGTTTTATCATATTTTTTCCGGGGAACCTTATTTAAAAGGTAATTGCTTGTCAAGATTGCTTCGCCCCACATGTTTTGTGGCAAGCCCGAACTTACTAGCATCGCATTCATCATATCTTTCAATGTGCGATTCTTTCGTTCGGCAACACCGTTTGATTGAGGTGAATAGGGTGCGGTACGTTCGTGTACTATACCCACACTAGCGCAAAAGTCACCAATTGGTGCTTCATACTCACCACCTCGATCACTCCTAACCGTTTTAATCCGTCGATTAAGTTGGTTTTCCACTTCATTCTTATAAAGAATGAATTTATCGATTGCTTCGTGTTTATTTTTCAACAAATAAACATAGCTATAGTGAGTGCTATCATCGATAAAAGTAATAAAATATTTATTACCGCCACGTGTTTGTATTGATTTAAAATCACAAACGTCACTATGAATTAATTCTAGTGGTTCCGTTTTTCTTTCAACCGATTTGAAAGACGTTTTCGTTAGTTTTGCCTCAACACAAATATCACATTTGTGCTTCACATCAATTGTGAATTTAGGAATGTGTTCCATGTTAATTAATCTACGTATAGAATTAAAATTAACGTGTCCTAGTCTACCATGCCACACATTGGAAGACTCAAGCAAGTAAGCAGAAGAGACTTTATTATTATTTTTAATAATAGTCATTACATTGAGCTTAAACAGCCCATCACATGCATACCCCTTGCCCACATACATTCCCGACTTGGACAAAACCAATTTGTCCGACTCAAAAACCATACGAAAGCCATGCTTGTTCAACAACGAACCGGAAATCAGGTTTTTGCGTATCTCCGGAACGAACAGCACTTGGTTAAGAGTCAGCTCCTTGCCCGAAGTCATCTTCAGGACCACCTTGCCCACGCCTTCAACCGCGGAATGAGCCAAGTTTCCCATCCACACCTTCTCACCATTTGATGGCTCAAAAGTAGTGAATAACTCCCGGTTTGAGCAAATATGCCGGGTAGCACCGGTGTCCACAAACCACTCCTTGGAATTGGATCCAACGAGGTTGACTTCCGTAACCACAGCCGCTAGGATGATGTCTTCATCCTTTTGCCCACCTTGCACCAAGTTGACGTGAGAATCTTTCTTCCTCTTTGGTGCCTTGCAATCCGAGGACTTGTGTCCATTTTTATTGCAATTGAAGCATTTTCCGTTGAACTTTGTCTTGGAAACGCCTCCCTTGGGACCGAGCTTGCTCTTCCCATTATTTTTGGTTTTGGAGCCTTTTGCATGCTCCACCACGTTTGCCTTGGCGCCATGAACAATTGGGAGTTTCCCATCGTTCTTCCGGTTATCCTCTTCAATCCGCAGACGGAGGATCAGTTGCTCCAAGTTCATTTCCTTTCGCTTATGCTTAAGGTAGTTCTTGAAATCCTTCCAAGCCGGCGGCAATAAATGAATAATTGACGCCACTTGGAACGACTCACTAACTGTCATTCCTTCATCTCGAATTTCGTTGAAGATCATTTGCATCTCCTCAACTTGACTCAAGACCGTCTTCGAATCCACCATTTTAAAATCAAGGAATCGACCAACAACAAATTTCTTTGCGCCGGCATCCTCGCTTTTATATTTGTGGTCCAAAGCATTCCATAGCTCCTTAGCCGTAGCTAATTTGCTATAAACGTCGTACAAAGCATCATGCAGCCCGTTCAACACATAGTTTCGGCAAAGGAAGTCAGAATGCTTCCAAGCCTCAACCGCGTTGAAAGATTGCGCATCCACCTCACCCCCGGTTACAACCGGTGCGTCCTCGGTCAAGAAACGTGCAAGACCGAGAGTAGTGAGATAGAAGAGCATCTTTTGCTGCCACCTCTTGAAGTTTAACCCATTAAATTTTTCGGGTTTCTCCACAGAGTTGCTTGGCACGGTAACCATAGGGATAACCCTTTGGTTCAAAGCAGATGCTCCGCGTTGTGAACTATTGTTCACCGGAGCTCCGCTTTCAGAGTGATTGTCGTTCAGAACATTCTGCCCAACACCAATCTCGTTTTCTTGAGAAGTCATTTTCGTTTTCTTAACGTTTTTTCCGAAAGCACAAAAAATTAAGTTCGTTCACCAAAGTGACAAACTACGATTTTAAGATTGTATACCGCAGTATAACAATCACCAAATACGTTTTAAGATTGTTGGGTGTGTTTCGGAAAATAAAGAAAATTAATTAATTAAAATGACGAAAGAAAAACAAGAAAAGAGATGGAGCAGAATTTGTCAAAGCTCGTGCTACGCACGATGTCCTTAAAACGTATTTGTTGCCTCCCACGGTGCTAGGAGCGTTGCAACAATAGTTTCCCAGGATACGATGACAACGAACTAGTGTTTGAGCACACAAACAAAAGTTCCAGCGAACGAGAACAAAGACTGAACACAAAAGGAAATTTTCGGAATGCTAGCAGTGTGTTTTTGAGGTGCAAAACGTGAATGGAGTGTCTAAATTCGTGTGTTGTTGCAAACCACCTGCCAGCCATTATATAGGAGGATTTGTTGTATGAAAATAGTGTTCTGTCACCAGAGACCGAGGTGTTCTGCCACCAGAGACCGAGGTGTTCTGCCACCAGAGACCGAGGTCTTCTGCTGCTAGGCACTTCTGCCGCTGGGAAAAAATAAACGTTTCGGGAAGAAAACAAAAATTAATCGTATCTCTTGAGAGATAGATTTTTGGACGACATTCGTGTCCGCAGGTCGCCCGCGCTCGCAAGTCGCGGTTTTTCTTCTCCGAATTCGGGATTTGATTTGCACCCCCCCCCCCCCTGCGCGCGTGGAGAGAGCCTTTACCCTTAGGAATCTTAACTCCATAAGGGGGGAGTCCCTTTATAAAGGGTTGCAAATCCCTTGGGTTTTCCGGTGTGGGAAATTAACACTAGAAACCCATCCTTTTTCCCCAGTTTTCCCTTCTAACGGGTAAACTTCGAAAAGCGATTTCTCATTCACCCGTTATCCGTTTTGAGCGTACCATATATCGAATTGTAGCCCTAAGCAAGGACAATCCGAAACCACTTTAACCCGACCCAAATCGGAAGTGGACCCCACTCAAAAAAATTGCCCCAAAATAGCCATTTAATGCAATTTTTTCACACATTTTTCCAACACTAGATTGCTTTCTCAAATGACATTAATCAAATTATCTAAAGAATATAAATTGAAGATTAATTAATAGGAAAGTAAAACCATTACCCGAATACTTGTAAAGTACGGTGGGCTCATAATACTACTACATACCGCCTTACACATCATCATCATTAAAACTCACACCAACAAATTGGAGTATAACATTAAAATAAAATCTCCAAGTCCCAAGCAGGGATTTGTTCCATCCAGATGGCTAACTCAATAATGATGATGCTCCTCCTGATATATGGCACCAAATTCCGCCCTCCACGCTTGCTCATCATCGTCATCATTATAAGCTGATGAATGTTGTGTTGCTGTCAATGTGTCAGATTGCTCCCTAAACAGAGATGTCCCCCGTAAAGCAGCTTCTGGCAATCTGCTCTCAGCAAGACACTGCTTCATGGTGGTCATCTCCATCTTGTGTTTTCTCTTCAGTTTCTCCATTTGCCTCTGTAACTTCTCATTCTCTTCCTCTCCTTTTCTGAATTTCTCCTGCAATAATAAGAGTTGAGTTAATTTACATCACATTTACTACCTTCTATAAGCTAGCTACAAGTGGGATTCTATACTCATATAAAAAAAGCCAACTTATTTAAAAATCTAGCTTATTCAAAAGCTGTCTTTGAAAAGCTTAAACTGATGACTTGTGATTGTTATGATTTTACCTCAGCAAGAGATGCAGTTTCCTCGGCTTCTCTCAATCTAACTAGTAGTTCACCAGCAGCATGGACTGCTTCTGCGGTGTCCCTGAGTTGAACCTTCAGGCTTCTGTTCTCCTTCCTCAGGAGCTCCCTCTCCCTCTCCCTTTCCACCCTCAAGGCTGACAGTTCCGCAGCCAATGACTTGGCAAACCGAGCGTCATTCTTCTTACCCCCTCCTCCCGCTCTCGCGACTGCCATTTTAACCTCTTGAATCCCCGCCATCATCAACCTGTGCTTCTCCACTACCTCATTGTGCTTCTCCTGAAGTTCCACATAGTGCTCCACCATCCTAGCATGTCCCACGACGGATCTTCGGAGTGCGTCATCCAACTCCGCCGCGGACCTTTTCTCCAGCTTCAAATCTGCCTCCGCCTTCTCTGCTCGCTGCCGGATTGACTCCAGATCGATTCTCAGTTCGTCTGTTAGAGAAATCCACTCGCTCTCCATTTCTGTCCATCTCTCCCTTTCTGATTGGAGCTCCTCTCTGTCCCTGTTAATATGACCTTTTGATGAGGAGCGCAGTCTTTCAGTCGATTTGTTGTTGCTCACAGTGTCCCCGGTGTGTGATCGCAGTTTGGTCCTCAGGGTTTCTATTTCTTCGACAAGGGCATCCCTTTCCGCCACACTAAAGCATTGTTGGGCCTCACCACCACCATCTTCCTGACCAAGCTCTCCTCCCTGGATTTCTTTAACAATCTCTTCATCATTCTCTCCCTTACCATTCCATTCCAAAAGCTGCACGAACAAATTCAAAAAAGTTGCAATGTGTTCAATCCAGTAAAAGTGTTAACAGTATATCTACCAACTAACTCTCAAAACGGCTTTTTCATCATTGTCACCAAACAAAAGAGAGTAGTAATAAAGATTAAAGCACAAACCTTTTCTTGGCAATTTATCGGCCGACTCCACTTTTTATCACCATCCATGTCCTCACAATCAAGAACGCTCCTCTGCGTCCCACAAATGCACTGTGATAGCTGTCATAACTCACAAGGAAGGTTACTATTAGTGATCTCGATGGACACTTCAAATTTAAAGATTTCATCTTTTAGGTAGTTCTCACCAGTTGGTTGAGCTTCTGGATCTTTTCTGCTTGTTCTTCACAAACCTTTTCAAGGTTCTTCTCTCTCTTCAGAGCGTCTGGTTGCTGCAGTAATGTGTGGGAAGAAGTAAGTCTGTTATCAAATTGTAATATACACACTAAACGAGTTTAGCTCGATTGATCACATTTTCCTTACTTTAGGCACTTGGTCACCGTTATTATTTCCACCAACCGGTGTTATCCATGTCTTTAAGCAGCTATCTTGAGCTTCTTCTTCTTCTTCTGATGCTTCATGGACAGTTTTTTTTACAGAGAAATGGTTAAATGAGAAGGAGGATGATCTCGTTGATTCAGTCATCTGCTGGTGATGGTCAATTATCTGTAAGCCTCTATGGAGACTAGCTGCTAAGGATTCAGTTGGTCCAGGAAATATTCTACTTGACCTCAATGAGGAACAAGAAGACTGGACAATTTTGTTTTCCTTCTCAGGTTCTTGTGATAATCCAGAAAAAGTTCTGGAAACATCTTGCATACCGGTTTTGTTAGATGAGGTATTTGATGATGATATAACCAAGCTTTTTCTTTGGATATTTCCTAATTTTGGAGATTCAGACAACAAAGGATCCTGGAGAGCAGTCTCTGTCATCTCAGATACTTCTTCTTCACTCTCATCTGAACAGCTAATGTAACGTTCACTAGTAACATCTGTCACATTACTACATTCATCATGTGAGTTATGGATGCTATCAATCTGGGCTTGAAGTTCTTTGATGTCATCCTCATTTATGTGGATTTCCTCCTCTTCACAATCTTTATTATCATCAAAACGGGGTAAGATCAGTGAGCGGTTAAGGCTCAATCTCAGATGATTCAAACTGTCACGCATGCTTTGTCCAGTGAAATATCCATTTTCTCTTCCACTCCCACTGTTTGAACTCAACTTTGCTCTTATAAGTTCTTCCTGTAACCACAACAACAAGAATAGACTGTTTGGTAGGCATTCGTTTCCGCTTATTAATCACAAACTAAATGTATGAGATTAAAAGTTCTAATACGTAGTATCATTTTTTAAATGTTATTTTAGTATATATAGTAAAATATGCATATATATTACATAATTGAACAACGAATACAGCCATTTAACAAACGCACTTGCTCAAGATTAGATATATCCCGCTCAGTTTCCCCACTCTTCAAAGAAAGAAAAGCAAAGAAAATGAAAGTACCTTCAGCGAACGGATCTGATCACTGAGACCATTAACATCATCTTCTGTGATCTCATTAATTACTGGTTCATTCTTCATGAGTTTCACCTTCTTCCCAAATCTGAGTGTGCTTACTGTGTCACTCATATGGCTGCAATGTAAGAATTTTCATTTAAGCTTTTTATTTTAAGCAAAGAAGAAATGCAGAATATGATAATTCATACATCATAAAAGGAAAACATTTTAATGTAAAGTCAGTCATCCATATATGAAATATAATCCATACTTGTCTTCCTGGGAGACTGTACATATGACAGAAAGTTTGGCATTCCCTCCCAGTGATTCTCTCAATAAATGAGTTAAACAGGAACAGTTATACGGAGCTGCTTCAAGTACATTTTCTCTGCTCTGTTCAGATAGGATTTTAACCAAATGCCTACACAAAATAAGCAAGAAGAAAGAAGAACAATTACAATGTATGCCAATAATGGGGGGTTATGAAGTTCAAAAATTTCATGTATAAGCAGAAAGTATAGAAATTCCATTTAAGAAGATAGTATAATTTATTATGGAGCTACAATTGAACCCTTGTGTTATTATTTACATAATAATTACATACCCCAATTGTGATGTGGACTTCTTAACGAATTTGTGTTCCTTAATATACTGTCTACCAGCATCTTCAAGTACATTTCGTTCAAATCCGGCAAGATCTACAAGGGTAATTCTGCTTGTCTTTGAACTAGCAAAACACTTTGATGAGTTCTCCTGACAGCAAAGCACATTCATTCATTCCGGTGAATAACTTGATCGTGACATGCAAATATAAACTTGCAAGCTCCACAATGGATGTTATGTTTTAACAACAACAACATCCAAGCCTTAATCCCAAAAGATTTTGGGGTCGGCTAACATGAATTGAACCATAAGGAAAAACTTGGTAAGGTTTATTTTGTTGAAATAGTTGTATCCGCTTTTTTTAAGGAAAAATAAGGCAAATAAGTTCAAATGGTAACATCTATTTCAGTCAAATAAGTAAGCCAAACGCTACTTATCCTGCTGGCAAGCAGAATAAGGCAAACTAAGCCTAAAGACTTAGTGTAATGTGACAAACAGACTAATTCTCTCATTGGCAGTACCTTGCACCAGGACTCAATGATGCATGTGAAAACAACATGAGACCTTGAACTCTTTGAATTTATGCCGGTTGATCCAACTTTCCTATTTGAAAGACCCTGCACATTTATGCATGCATACAAACAAAGATTAGATATTATGCATGCATGATGCATAATAACACTAAAATCATTTGTGGAAGTTTTGAAGAAACAAATTAAAATAATATAGAAAAAGTAACTTCAATAAAGTTAAGCAATGCGAAATGTGATTATTTCTTCTTACCTTAATCAAAATCTGTGTGACATTATGCATGCATAATAACACTAAAATCATTTGTGGAAGTTTTGAAGAAAAATATTAAAATAATAGAGAAAAAGTAACTTCAATAAAGTTAAGCAATGCCACATGTGATTATTTCTTCTTACCTTAATCAAAATCTGTGTGACATCTTCATATGTGTTCACATATTCCTCCGTCAAGTTCTCTACATAAAATCCATTTTTGGCATCCTCTTTTATCTGAGAGGGTACATCCCAGAAAAATAAAAAACACCATTCTCATAAAAAAATGCACAAAAAAATACACTTGTCCAAAGTAAATTGCAGAATAATTGCCACTCAGAATCTACTCTGCTAATATGAAAGGGTCCAACTCTTTTACCTTCAAATCTCTCTGCACGGGATCAAGTAAATCCCCAATACGTTCGTTGTATATCTGCAACAGACCGTAGGCTATTAGTGCATACCCCAACACCATTCTAGCAAATAGTTATACATAAGATTAAAATTTACCTCAAGGAATGAGCAACGGCACTGGTAACTTGTTTGTTTGTAGTCAGAACTTTCCTGCTCCTATGTGATAATCAAACATGAAGCTTAAGAGTCAGCTGCCAGCAAGTTCTTGGTGTAGTTTACTATCTGATAGGGAGGGGGTCAAACAAGACAGACTTACCCTTTGAATATTAGAAAACAATGTCTGGAAAATACGCGGAACAAGGCCCTGAAGACCTTTGATTAATGGAGTCTCGACCATGGCACTCGGCGGTCCCCACAGTGTATAAGTTTTTCCACTCCCAGTCTATTGCAACAATTACATATACCATATGCAAGTATTGTTAAGAATGTACAGAAAGTCCTAAGAAGCAGGACTGTTACACATTTATTTTGTTAAGGGGAAGAGATAAGAAGAGATTGATTTGGTATATTTAGCGCATAGTTTGGTGGGGCAGAAATGTGGAAGAAATTTGGAGTAGATCCATTTCTCTCCTATTTCTTTCCCGATTATTTCACTCACCTCACCTCAACACAAGTTCTTGTAAACCTACCTGTCCATAGGCCAAGAGTGATGTGTTGTAACCTGCCAATGCATCATTAACCAAAGGGATACCAACTAATTGAAATACATCCTCCTGATATAAACAAGGAGCCCTTTGTGAGAATTAATCTCCCAAATTGTTTTCTCAGATCAGGATAAGTAAGCTTTAAAATTGATGAATTGCCATACCTGAGTCGAATTAGAATAAAGAACTGAATCAAAAGTGAACTTTTTATCCCCAGCCGACACTGAATCCTTAGAAACTGCTCGAACCATCCGTTCGCCATTAGTGGCCCCATTTGCAGGTCTCAATCTCACCACAACCTATTATTACGCAATACAAACAGCTTAGGCACCCATTTTAAAAGAAAAGGAATAATCTAGGGTTTTTAAAGTACTAAAAAGTATATCCCTGAACTGATCACCTTGACTGGCGATGAATCAGAAGATTGCGAAACTTCCGGTTTAATCTCTGATCCGGCGAGTTCTTTTATGGGGGTGTTTGCTAGTTTGGATGGCGACTTTTTAGGGATTGAATTTGAAGCAAAAAGAGGCGGGTCGCTTATCTGAACATTTGGGTCTACAGGTGCGATGTTTTCACTGCTTAATTTAGATTTGGAACGAATTGAGCTCACAATGCTCTTCGATGGAACAGATTTGGCAATAAGACTTCGAAATGCAGAGTTTGAAATGCTTCCCAGGAATTTTCTTTCTGACATGGCTGCTACTTCCGAGAAACAAATGCAGAAAATCAGGCACACTGGGGATTTTTTTATACAAGAAGAGAAGAATCAGAACTAGAAGAAGGAGCGTTGGTGAGAGGAGAGCACTGGGCGGGGTTGTGGATTGAAATAAAAGAAGCGTTGTGTAGATTTGAGAAAGAAGACCGTTGTAGATTTGAGCCTTTGGTTTAAAAAACAATAAAAAGTTTGAATTTGGAATTTGTAATGACCATGATACCCTTCGAATGTGCTTTCAAAGTCACGCACTCGCGCGTACGTTTTGTCAAGTTAGAGTTTTTTATTTACTCCCTTCGTCCCAGAATTAACTTCGGTTTTGACTGGGCACGGAAATTAAGAAAGTGAGAAATGTGTGGTGGAGAATTGTGCAGAGGAGAGAGAAATATGTAAGAATGGTTTTAAACCACAAATCCTTTGCTAAAAAGAGAAAGAGAAGATAAATTTGGGACGGACCAAAAAGGAAAGAATGAAAATAATTATGGGACGGAGGGAGTACTTTATTTGGATCGAAATTTGGGGAAATTATTACTTTGATTTACTTTTGTCAATTATATTTTGTTTATAGCCTAATTCTAAATGTTTTTTATTTTTAAACTTTCTTCTTTTCACTCGGTCTAAGTTATTTCACAAATAGTCGCAAGTCTAATTCTCTACAAAAATCTCCGATTCAAAACCCACCGAATTTGTTAGGAACGGGGAGTAAGATTAGAGAATAAGAGGATCCGAGGGTCGACGAAATTCGCTTCGCATGTGGGAATCCGCCCTAGGTCAAAGCTTTTACCCATTGTCGAGGAGATATGATCTTTTGAGGAAATTGTAGCATTGTTTAGTAGTAAGAAGATTGAAAAAAGGAACATGTGGAATCCTAGAAAATAGAAGCAGATGTTTAGCGAGATCGTGGAGAATAAGATAGATGCACACAAATTTGAAGTGGTTGAATCGATTACTCTTAACTAATATAGGTGAACAAAGTCGAGAAACTGTCAAAATTGATGGATTTGCTTTTGTGAGTGAGTTCTCGCATGGCTTCCCTTTAGTAACAGAGATTAAAAGTGTCTTATGTAGTTCATATTCGAAGGAAGTTTACAAGTAAGTCTACTATACTTCTTCAAATTATGAGTGCATGTAATTACAACATTTTCTAGGGAAAAGTGTCAAATTGACCCTTGAAGTATACCCAAAGAGTCAATTAGGTCCCCTAACAATAAAAACACTCAATTAAGTCTATGAACTATACAAAAATGATCAAATTCATAAGGGAAAAGGTGCAAATAGGCCCATGTACTAACCAAAAAAGGTCAAATAAGCCCTCATTTAGAAAGTTCTGTCCGGCCATCGTCATTTGGGGTGGTTCCAGGTGGAATTTTTTGATGAAATTTTTTGAGCATCTTATTTATCAAGTCTAGTTTGCTCATACCAAATTTCAGCTAAAATTTCAATCGGGAAGGCAATCAAATGAATTCAAAAATTCATTTGAATGCCTTCCCGATTCAAGTTTTAGATGAAATTTGGTGTGATTAAACTAGACTTGATGAATAAGATGATCAAAAAAATTCATCAAAAAATTCCATCGGGAACCACTCCAAATGGCGACGGCCGAACAGAGCCTCCTAAATAAGGGCTTATTTGATCTTTTTTTGTTAGTACATGGGCCTATTTGCACCTTTTCCCAATTCATAATTTAGTTGGTTGCTTCCTGGTTTGACTGTGATACAGCTGACGTGGCATTCCAGTTGGCGTATTTCTAATATTTTTCCTTTTTTTGTTTGTTTCTTTTCTTTTTACTTTCTTTTTTCCCATCTTGTTTCTTCTTCACAACAACTGAACGGGTGCTGCTTTCTTTCTTCACCTTTTTCAACCCCCGCCCCTCCTTTCCCCATCCCTTTTTCTTCTTCTTTAGGCGGCCAGAGCATTCCTTACATGCCGTGCGGTCGATCGCGCGGTCCAATTTTCGGCCTGTTTTTTAATTGTTCTATTTAAAGGCCCCTGGTTTGGCTACTTTTCAAGACGGGAGCTTAGAGAGATACACTCTATTTCAACTTTTGAGAGCTTTTTCAGCCTTGTTCTTCAAGATTAATTAAGGGATGTTTTTTTGTAAGTTTCATCTTTTAATTAATGACAATTAATTATTTTCATTCCAACTCTATTGATTCTTCAATTATGAATTGTGAGTAGTTTTAATTAGGGATTTGAGATTGATGAAAGAGTTAATCATGATGTTGGGCTAGTTTTTTTATGGTTTAAATTGCATGAATCTTTATTTAATTTGTGCATGAATGATTTAATTGATATCTCTTGTAACCTAGAACGGGGCGCTAGAATTACAATTCCATGTAGAATGAAGTAAGAGAGATATAATTTATTTTAGGACACATTCACACGCACTTAATCGCTCGCTAAGAGATTAGTAGCGATTAAGGGGTCGTACGCTCGTTCGTTTTGGCAATAATTTTAGATACTTGTCGCATGAGAGATCAACTTGATACCCTAATTTATCGTACTCTATGCCGCAAGAGCGGTTAGAACATAGTATTGATTAGTGTTGCTCAATTAAATAATATTCATGTGATTAAGCCTGATCAGCCAGAAATCTGGTTAACCCGGAATCAATCTTTGTTACCTTCGTCATTAATTAGAAAGAACCAAGCTATTTTTATTCGTTTGTTGCATTTTAATTTTCTAAACAATCAAATCTCACACCTTTGCATTTATTTTATTTATTTTTAATTACTGAATTTAATTAATACCTAATTCCCCTTTTCCGTCCCTGTGGAGACGATACTCGTACTTTTACCCTTTACTATTATATATTTTAAGTGCGAGAAAACTCACATCATAGGTCAAGGTCTATTATTGAAAACAAAAATTTAGCTAGTCTATTTCTAGAAAAACAATTGTTGAAAAAAGTGATATTATTTTCACTTTTTGGTCTATTTGATGTCATTTCCCCTTAAAATTGTGTGGTATTGTCTAATCTTATAGAGTTTAACCTATTTCGGTGATCTGATATATTAATTCCAGTATGAACTTGCCTGGTCTGATTTAGTTCGGAAAATGTTTGTTTTATGTGTATTTTACATTTATTGAAGACTGATCTATTTTGTTTAAATTTGATTTGGTTTGGTGTTGAAACTAGTTCAATTTAAATGTTAGGGATTGAAACTAGTTCAATTTAAAATATCCTTAGTCGTCCGAATTTTATATCATAGTCATTTTTTAATCAAATAACTAATTTATTCATATCAAATGATAGCAAAGAAATAAGTAAATGAATAGCCTAAGGCTACAACTGAATGAGACTTTGAACGATAACCCCACAATAATAGTCTAGTCTAACAGTCATGTTGCACTTGCTACTCCAAATAGTAAATTACAAATGAAAGATCCGGCTTCACCAGTCTCCAAATAATAATGTACAAATAAAAGATCCGGAGAATTTATTTGACCAGCAACCAACAAAGGAAACCCTACCGAATCGAAATTGTCTGAATCATCAGTTTGATCAGCCACCCAAAAAAAGGTCCAGTCGAGCGCTTTCTTTATTCAAGATTTCCAGAGCGAGGCGGTGATTTTGGTGGATGGCGAATAATTGAAGACTCATAACAACAAGGTTGAAAAAGCCACAACCTCTAAACACCGTTAGGAGAAAACATACCACCCGCTCACATGAAGCGGACAAAACTCTCGAGCAAAGAAGAAGAAGACAAACCAAAACCTCGAGAGTATAAATTAAAAAAGAACAGAAATATAGAAAAATCTTTAATTCGATACTTCATTGCCCAGAGAACATCACCATCTTTTAAAACTCTTTCCGATTGAAAGACAGAAGACTTGAAGATCTGATCTCGTAGAAGGTGGAAGATGGCTGCCTAGTCTAGCACATAACCCTCTCTAATTCAATATATATCAGTGTATTTTTAATCCTCGGATTTGAATTTTTCACTTTTAGTCATTTGAATATTGTGAATAAGACACTTTTGGTATATGTTTGTTGAAATTTTTCATATTTAATCTCCCAACTTTCATAGAACAACACTTTTGGTTCTTCAACTACTATCATATTCAAATTGTTAGTCTCCTACTTCTTATGACAAAATGATAGTGGAAGGGTTGAAATTATCAATTTGATAATACTCGTAGAGTCGTAGGACTAAATACAGGGAATATCGAAGTTGATAATTATCTGTTTCACAATATTAGACGAAAGACTAAAAAAAGAAAAATTAAATTGACTACAAAAAATTTCATTCACACAATAAGTAGGTGTTAAAAGTGGCAAAAATTCATGAAGCGAGCTTGCCCAACCCTTTTTCACGTTTTCCCATTTTTATTAAATTCACTCAGTTAGTTTACTGAAGTACTTGTTCAATTCTTTTTTAAACAACAATCAACTTGACCAAATCTCTTTATATATTAAAACTAGTTTCTACACGCGCGATGCGCGATCAAGTAAGTGCCCAATACAAGCCCGGTTGGTAGCATGAAAATCTGCTGTTTTGGTTGATTCCGCTGAAATTTATGATGTTCTGGCAGAAGTGGCTGCATTGGCTGATTCTACTGATTTAAGAAAAAAATATTTTTAAAATATATTTTGTTAATAAAATAAAGAAAAAATTATATGTAAAAATAGTTAAAATGGTCATCTACAGTAATTTCAGCCAATACAGCCAGAAAAGTAACTTCAACCTTACTTTTTCTGCTTATTAGGCTATGTTTGGCACAACGAGCTGAAGCTGGAGGCTATTGTCTGAAATAGGGTTATTGTCTAAATCAAAGACTATTGTCTGGACCTAAACTTTGAAGTGTTGCATCTGAACCGCTAGTTGAATGAAGTAGACTCGTTTGGCAAAAAGAACTGAAAAAGTGCAGGAATAATGTGAAATTACATTATAGGACATATCAATTATTAATAGAATAAAATATATTTATTATAATAATATTATATAAAATATATTCATTATAATGATTTTAATTGAACACTTTTTAGAAACGGACATCTACCTGAGAGCTTAGCGTCCAAAGACGGAATGCATGAAAGCATCCGTGAGATTAGGGCGGGGTTCGGAGCAGCTAGTTGGGCGGTCGGAGAGCTAGAGATAGAGAAGACAAACGATCTAAGACGGAGGCAAATAAATCGATGGAA